AGAAAATAAATATCAAGATGGTGGAGTTAGACTCAACCATATTAGTAATTATACTAAATGTAAATAGACTAAATCCTCTAATTTAAAGGCAGACTCTCAGCCTGGATTAAAGAAAAAACCACCAAGACACAGCTATGTTTTGTTTATAAGAGACACTGAAATATAAGGACACAGAAACATCAAAAGCAAAGGGACTAGAAAAAAGACATATTGTGCCGAAAATAAACTCTAAGACAGGGAGTGTTACCAGGTATAAAGACTGACAATACAAAATAATAAGAGAGTCAATTTGACAAAAAGACTTAATACTAAACATGTATATCTAACACAATTTCAAAATTCATTAAGCAAAAATTAACAAAACTAAAAGGAGAAATAGACAATCACAGTTGTAGATTTCAACAAATTTCTCTCCATAGTTAACACAGCAAGAAGACAAAAATGATGAGTAAGAATATAAACCCTATTTAATTCACTCAGCCTGACTGATATTTATGGAAACACCATCCAACCCCTGAATGCACACCCTTTTAAAGTATATTCAGAACTTTAAGAAAAGAGTATAACACGTCTCAATAAATTTCAAGTATACCATCTGTCCCCAAAGAAATGAAATCTGAAATTAATGACAAAAGACTAATAGAGAGTCCTCAAATATTTGGAGATTAAGCACAATTCTAAATAAAGGGAATTGGCAAATATCTGAAGTGAATGAAACAAAACAATATGCAGGAAATGGCAGGATGCAAATAGAGCAGTCACGAGGAAAATTTATAGTTCTCAATGCGTGTATTTGAAAACTTCTCAGAAAGGTTTATAGCCAGTGATTTAAGCTTCTGTTGCAAAAAGTTATAAATTAAACCCAGAGTAGAAGAACGGAAAAACAGAAATCAATGAAACTGAAAACAGAAAAAAAGAAATATTAACAAAGTCAAAAGTTGGTTCTTTGAAGTAATTTTTAAAAATTAAACCCTTACAAGACATGAACAAGAATAAAACAAAGAGGGGTGCCTCGGTGGTTCAGTCAGTTAAGCGTCTGCCTTTGGCTCAGGTCATGATCCCACGGTCCTGGGATCCCCCGCATCAGGCTCCCTGCTCTGTGGGGAGGCTGCTTCTCCCTCT